GGTTCAGGACCATAGCAACCTTGTATAGGGTTTCCGAGGAACAGCTGTTGAGCTTGAACCACGGACCTTGCTGCTTGGATGGACTTTACAGTCCTGCACATTAACCCACAGTGCCACAATTATCTACCTTTGTGTGTTGGGGTCCTGCGCTATAGAATAATCACTGGCCGCGTAACCATAAAGTGTCGGTTCAGACTCACCAGTCGCTCTTTGGATACCCCATACAGGCTCACTATGAATAAGAACCAACTAGAGAGCGCTTAACAACAATGACATTTGTATTAGTTTAGATAGGTAGTATGGTTTTAGAAATTTGTGCATTTCTTCTAGGTTTTAAAATGAGTTGAAGTGTAATTTTTCATTATGTTCTTATATAAGATCCTCTTTATCTCAGTTGGATCTGTTGTAATATTACCAATTTCATTTTTTATTTTGGTTATTGTGTCTTCTCATTTTTCCCTTTGTCAATTTGACCAGTGGTTTGTCAGTTGTATTGATCCTCTCAGTGAATCAACTTCTAGTCTTGTTGGGTCTATTGTTTTTCTGTTTGATTTATTTCTCCTCTTAGCTTTTTTATTTCCTTTTTTCTTGTAACTTTAGTCACCTTTTGTTCTTCTCTGTCCAGCCACTCCTTGAAAACCTTTTATAGGGTCTCTATGAGTTAAAACTGACTAACAACACTTAACAATATCAACAGTTTGCTATACTTTTTTGTGGTGTTAATGGTTTCTTTGTTCTTAATTTTCTGTGCTGAGTTCTTTTGTGGTGCTGAGGTTAATGCACTGGACTGCAAGGTTGGTTTTAGCCACAAGGTCGCTGGTTCAAGCTCACCAGCTCCTCCTTGAAAACTCTAGACAGGGTCACTATGAGTTGGAACTGACTCATTGGACTTAACAATAGCAATACCATTTGCTATTGCTTTTGGGTTTACCTGAAGTTTACCTTTGTTATTGTTGTTGTTTTCTCCTATAATTAAAGCAGTCTACACAAAAATGGTACAGGAGGCCATATCTGACTTCCTCTGGTTTGTAATCCACTATGCTACCAGGGCTCCACAAAGCTCCTTTGGTGGTGGTGGTTATGACCGTGGAGTCGGTTCTGACCCAGAGTGACCCTGTACAGGGTTTCTGAGGCTGTAAATCTTTGTGGGAGCAGAAAGCCTCATCTTTCTCCTATGGAACAGCTGGTAGTTTTGAACTGCTGACCCTGAGGTCAGCAGCCCAATTTGTGACCACTACGCTACCAGAGCTCCTTTAGCTTTCTGTAAACACCCAAAAGGCACATTCTGCAAATCAGCTTCCTGCATGGAGACAGTCACCTTTAATCGGCTCACAGGCCAGGAAGCCCACAACTTCAGTCTCCTCTGCTATTGTTGCTTTTCTAGGTAGAGAGTTCATGATCTGCTCATGGCTCTTCTTTCTTGATGGTCCTGGAATCTGCTCTTCCTGCTTCTGAGATGTCTCTTTTTAAACCTAGTGGGATGGCAAAACTAACCAATCCCAACATTAGAGACATGTACACAGTGACCTTTGCATGGTCCCACCCAGTTATTTGGTAGGAGTTAAGAAGACTTTGGAGTTCTGGTATGGCACTGTAAGCTAATACATCAGACTGCAAAGTCATTTGAACTGCAAGGTCGGTGGTTCAAGCTCACCAGCTGCTCCTTGGAAACCCTATACAGGGTCACTATGGGTCAGAATAGACTCGATGGCACTTAACAACAACAACAACAAGAAGACTTTGGATAGGAAAACTGTATCAAGTACATTCACAGAACCACAGTCTGATCTAGCTTAGAATTGCCTCAACTTTCTCTCCATATGGAATCTATAACTATGCCATTAAGTGCTCTTCCCCTTTTTGTTTTGAAGCAGTTTACAACTCACTATCTCTGTTTCCCTGTAATCAATTTTGCAATTTTATTTTTATTTTTGAGAAGTCATTATTTGGGTTTATATGAAGTAACTGTGTGTTATACCTTTATCTCAGAATGTTGTATGATACTGTTAGCTGTTTGAAGGACTCTCATTAATATTTCTTGTAGGACTAGTCTGGTGGCTATAAATTTCCTTAATTTTTGCTTATATGGGAATTCTAATTTCACCTCCAATTTTGAAAGGTGATTTTTCCAGATATATGATTCTTGGTTGGCAGTTATTTTCTTTTATGGTTTTGTATGAAATAAGTAAAAAAGTACTGCTATATATCGTAGCTCTCTTTTTTAAACAAACATGTCAAAATATGAAGCTATTATTTTTTTTAAAGTAACATCTATCTAGATATATACGCTTCTGAAGGCAAATTTCCGTCTCCCTAAACTGTTCCTGAAAAAGTCTAAACTTTTCTATTTCTGGTAGTTTGGGCATTCTCATGGGGCACAAGTTGTGTTTTTTCCAATGTTCTTTGCGTTTGGGGAACAAACAAGTCTAAAAGGGCAAGATCAGAGCTATTAAAGTAAGGTTTACTAATGAAATTCTCAAAGAACAGCCCTCAGCTACCCTTAAAGAATGAAGAGGTGCATTGTCAGAATGAGAAAAAAAAAAATCCTCAGCACAACTTGCCCTGCCTTTTTTCACCCAATACAACTTTTAATTAAAAAAAAAAAAAAAATTATTGTCAATATTACCCTCTTTGGAATCCCAAAAAGAATCACCATAATCTTGAATTTAAGTGGTCCAACAGGTCCTCCTGAAGCCACAGTTTTACTGGGCTGTACTTTCAGGATCATGTTGGCAAATCCAAGATCTATCTTCTGTTATGATTCATTCCAGAAAATCATCTTCCTTAGCTTCAATCTTACTTAAAAGACTGATGGAATGATCAGTTGTATGGGTTAACTTGTCTTTGTGTAATTAATGCTTTTGATATCCATCAAAAAGAAAGCTTGCTGAGACCAAGATGTTTACTTAAAATTGAAAATGCCAAACCAAATGAGATCCCAACTTCAGTAGGATCATATCTGTGGTCATTTTAATGATCTAATTTCACCAATTTCTGGACGTTAGTCTTAGTTTTTTCATTAATCAAGGTTAATGGTCTTCCCTCTCTTGCTTCATCTTTGAGCTCTTCCTGACCTTTCTAAAAATGCTCAAGCTTTCTAAAAACTATTGTTTTATATGGGACAGCATTTCTGTAACCTTGTTGCTATGACTCAGTGAAGATGTCTCCTTGAATTTTATTAAACATTTGATATTAGTGCTGACCACAAAATTGGCTTTTTCCCATGACACAAAAAGTATTCTTTTGTTTTTGAAGGCATCCTAACAAGATTAAGACTTGTTTGCAGAAACATGTTTAAATATGTTTTGTTTAAAATAAATGTGAGCATGTGTGAACTGTATGCCTAGTAGCAATACTTTTTGACTCACCCTTATACATGTTATTGCATTGCCTTCTTATTTGCATGGTTTTTGTTTGTTTGTTTGTTTGTTTTACAAGAAATCAGCACTTAATTTTAGTCTTCTTTTTCTCAAGCATGTTTTATAATTTTTAGTGTACATGTCATTCACCCCTACAGGTTAAATTTTTTCCTAGATACTTTATTTTGATGCTATTTAAATGAAATTTTTTATTTCGTTTTGTTTTGTTTTTCAGATTGTTCATTGCCGGTATTATGAACACAACTGAAATTTTATAGATTGTTCTTACATTCTGCAACTTTGCTAAATTTATTAGATTTAACAGGTTTTTTGTAGATTCTTAGTAATTTTCCATATATGGGATCATGTCATCTACAAATCAGGATAATTTTACTTCTTGCTGATTTGAATACTTTTTAATTCCTTTTCTTGCCTAATCGCTCTGGGTAGAACTTCCAGTACAGTGCTGAGTTGCAGTGGTGAAAGTGGACATCCTTGTCTTACATAGAAAACTTCTGGTCCATTTTTTTTTTTCCATTGAGTTTGATGTTAGCCATGGGTTTTTCATAAATGCCTTTAATCTTGAGGAATTTCTTTGTGTTCCCAAAATGTTGAGTGTTATCATGAAAGGGCATTGGCATTTGTCAAATGCCTTTCTGCATCAACTGAGATGATCATGTGGTTCTTTTCTTTATTCCATTAATGTGGTGTATTACATTGATTTCTTATATTGAACTACACTTGCATTCTTGTAGTATACTTGGTTATACTACATAATCCTTTTAATATGCTACTGGATAGGTTTTGCTAATATTTTGTATTAAAATTTCAAAGAGATATTAGTCTGTAGTTTTCTTTTGGTATTCCTATCTTGCTTTAGTATTAGGGTAAAGCTGGCCTCATAGAATGGGTTATTTGGAGGTGTTTGAGAGGATTGGTGTTTCTCATAATTTTTAATCGCTGGAGAATAGTAATGGGAACAGAATTGGCCAGGGTGTGGAAAGGTTATTTTCTTCTCTGGCTCTATCACTTACTTTGTAACCTTGGGCATTATGAAACAACTCCAAACTTTCATTTCCTTTTCTATAAATGACAGTTTTGGAGTAAATGAGTTTCAGGTCCTTTTCAATGCTGCAGGGCATTGATTCTATTTTATTATAGGCTTCTACACATTTTAAAGTACTTTATTTGAAATGAGAGCTAACCTTTACCCTTAAGTACAGGTCAGAATTCAGGAGCCAAGGGAGGCTGAGTGTATATCCTATTTGAGTCACTCTTACTTTGAACTGCTTGATGTCTCTAGTTTTCTCCCCTACCTATCATATGCTCCAAGGGTTGCTAAACCTTACAGAGCTTTAATTTCACTAATTGTGAAATTAAACCAACTCAGAATATAAATCTAGATATCTCAAATGGTGGCATAAAATATTGACTGTTTAGAGTAAGCAGCATAAATGGTTTTATAAACTTCCTTTGTTACTTCAAGAAAATTCTACTACTCCCCATAAAAATCCCCAATTCTGAGTTTGATTGACATATAATCATTGTTCATTGGGAAAAAATCAAGATTAAACCAGAATAAAACAATTCCAAAATTAAAGTATGCCATATAATTTTTTTTTTTTTTCATTCAATAAACAGGGTCTCCGTCCATCTTCTGCTGAGCCAAATCACAACCAGAGATGGGAGCTAGAAAGGAATGAAGAAGAGCTTAGATTTCATGAACTGCAGCTCGGAAGACACAAAATTAAGGAACAGGTTAAAAGCAGTTTTAAGCAGTCTAATCTAGGGCTACCATTGTACATGTATCATTATCTTTGTACATTACAGGGTGTTAATTTTATTTTCTACAGTGTTACTTGGGCATGTCGTGCTACTTGTTAGGCACGTTCAATATGGGAAGCACTATGTTGTGTGCTTGGGAAATAACATAGATACGTATTTCAACTTCTCAGAGAATACAACACAGCAAAATTCATAAGGCTTTTTACCTTGGATCAATAAATAACTGCATCATTAACATATTTGGGATTGTACCTAAAATGAGGTATATAAAGTAACTTTATTTCATTAATGTATTTGGATTACATATAAAATGAGATATATAGTCACTGACATCATGAAATATCTGGAGTTATATATAAGAGTGAGATCACCCCAAGTCACTGTATTATGCACAGTGAAAAGTACCACAACCATGATATAAGACAGATTATCATCTTTAAGAGCAAAAGACTTTTTTCTTATTTTATATCCCACACTTTTGAAATCACAGATTGCTTTTTAAATTATAGTTCTTCATAAACATTGAAAATTTTTGGTTTGTGTTTGTTTTCCAGGAATATTGGAAGCAATTAGAAGAAATACGTCAACAGTACCACAGTGACATGAAGGATATTAGAAAGAGGATAGGGAGAGAGCTGGAGGTAAACAAATTCACTTTCTTAAACAATTTATAGCTAAACAATTTATAACTAAATTGAACAGATATTAAGATTAATAATTTTTCCCTAGAAATGATACAATTTTATCATAGCAATAGTCATACAGACTTTAATTTATAGGCAACTTAATTGAAGCTTCATTGCATTATGACTTACTTGGGACTCCACAAGATGATGAGAATATCTTCTCAGTTAGGAATGGCTAGGATTAAAAATTACTTTGTGTTTGTCTTCCCAACAAAACAGTCAATATGTGTGAGGGGACTTCTAAAAGCTCATGGAAAAATTCCATTAACTTTCATTCCATTTTTTCACATTTTTATTTTTCAACACAAGTATAAGAATGTTATTGTAAATTTACTATTTTCTGTGGGGAAATAATTGTATGAAATTTGCATAAATTAGAAGATCCCAGATAGATGTTTTCTAGCTGTACATGTAATCAAATATGACACCATAAAAACTTACCTGCCAAATAAAATTGTGTTTGTCATAGATATAATTACTTTGTTTGAGCTTTAAAAGTTCTAGTAATATGTTATTAATTGTAAGATAATAGTCATGAAAATATAGATCAAAAGTTTAATTTTAACATTTCTCATGTACAAATGCTGTTTCATAGGAATGTTGATACACACACTCATTTTCAATATTAGTACAATGCTTAAATATCATGTTGAGCCTTATTTTTTAATTTGTAGGTCTTATAGAAAATCCTTTTGAAAAGGTATTCATGGCTGACATCCAGTTTTAGATTACTTCCACCACTCCAAAAAGTTCCCTCTAAAATGCATTTGTTTTTCTTTCCACA